CTTTATTTGAGAATTTAGCAGAGTTCAGGGCCTTAATTTAGCGCAATTGAAGTTTGGGTCCAACATTGCGAATTTTGTGTAAGTTTGGGTCATTAAGTCATATTTTTGCCTTTTAATAATCATAAAAACGTTAGGTGCATTTAGCTTTTAGGTTTCGTTTGATGTAGCTAGAACTTTTAATGGAAGTACTTTTTAAAAAAATTTATTGTGAAAGTCCTTTTCTTAAAATGTAAAAGGTGTTTTGTAAAATTTTTTGCTGAGGAATTTTTAAAATGTAAAGCTATTTGATAAATTTTTTTATAAAAAGTCTTCTGAGCTTAAAATAATTGAAAATGACATTTTGTTTTAAAAAGCATTGTTTCTTTTTTTTTTTTGATATTTTTATAGAGCTTTAATTTCATTATGTTAAAGTTGACGATTATAAATGGAATTTCTATATTTATAAAATATAAATGCTACTAATATATTTTTAATATTAATAGAGAAATAAATACTTATATTTTACTGTGAAAAAAAATAACATACTACATTTAAATTTTATAAATTAGATAATAAACATAAAAATTAATAATAACAATTATCTTGACTGACTTTTCATTAAAAATAAAAAGAACATTTTCTTTAAAAAAAGCATTGTTTCTCCTTTTTTTCTTTTTTCTTTTTTGCCATTTTTATAGATCTTCAATTCATTTTTAATTTAATTATGTTAAAATTGATGTTAACAAATGGAATTTTTATATTTATAAAATATAAATGCTAGTAATTAATACTTTAAATATTAATAGATAAATAAATATTTATATTTTATTATTAAAAAAAAAACATTCTACATTTAAATTTTATAAATAAGAGAATAAAAAGAAAAGTTGACAATAACAATCATCTTAATTGACTTTCCATTAAAGATAGAGCTATGGAATCTCTAAGTGAAATCATATTATGATCCTCCATTATATAATTAAGATTATCTTGGGAAATTCTTTCACTTGTGGTCTCTTCCCCAGGCACTTCAGGCATGTAATTTGACTCATTGTCACACCTATTAAATTCTTTATCTTTAATTGCATGTTGCCTAATGTAATTATCAAGTGCAATAGTTGTAGCTACTATTTTCTGTTGTGTTTGAAATGAATAATTTCGCATGTTGGACACTATCTCAAATCTAATTTTCCAAACCCCAATTGATCGTTCAATGACATTTCTAAGACAAGCATGAGCATGGTTGAATACTTCTTGATAACCCATGGGTTGGCTTCCATGTCTAAAATCAGGAATGTGATGCCTTTCTCTCTTATAAGGTCCCAAATATCCTGTTATATTTGGATAACCAGCATCAACAAAATAATATTTACCTGAAATATATAAGGAAAGTTATTAATAACAATAATGAAAATGTATTTAAAAATTCATTAAAAATATGCCTTTGTTATTATATTATAAAATAAACATAAAGTCATTACCATTAGGAGGATAAGGGAACACATCTTTATACTTTTCCAATGTATTATTGAAAATGCGTGCATCATGAGCAGATCCAAGCCAACCTGTAACTACAAATGTAAATATTATATCAAAGTTACAAACTACCATCACATTTTGAGTGTAGATGCCTTTTCGACCTCTGAATGGTACTTGATTTTTAACTAGGATCATGGCTTTTATATGTGTACCATCAATTGCACCAATACATCCTTTAAAATGAGGCCAAAACCTACTATCTTCTCGAATCTTCCTTGGAGTTTCAACAAAATTAGAATCAGGTGGTTTGATAGCATCAATTGAAAACCTCACCAATGTATCAAGAACCTCACGAAATTTTCTACTTACTGTTTTCCCTGAATGTTTAAAACGATTTTGCACATTGCGATTAGATTCATTATGGGCACACATTCAAAGAAACATTGCAAGTGCTTCTTCCACACTCATTTTTTTTTGTTGATGTTAGACCATAATTACTAACCAACAAAGAACATAATCCACTGAAAACATGTGGTTCCATTCTAAACATTCTATAACTCTCACTTGGAGTTGCCAATGTCTCTTGTACCCATTGCCATCTTGGAAGTCTAGAAACTCTTGTTTTTTGTTTATTAAGATACTTCGAAATATATCTTGATGATATTGAAGCACCTATCGAAATAAGAGAAAAAAAGACATTATCTTTTTTTCATCTAGCTCCCACCTTATTGACTTTTGGTTGTATAGCTTCTTCTTCCATATTATCCTCATCATTATTTTCTTCCTCCATTTCATTGTCATCACTGTTTTCTTCCTTGATATCATTGTTATCACTATTTTCTTCCTCCCACCTTTAAATCTAAATCCATCTACTAAGAAAAAA